CAAGTGATAGATTTGAGCAAAAGGTTGAACAAATTCTTCTCATTATGAACTTCTTCTTCCTTCTTCAGATGAGTTCTTCTCATTATGAACTCGAACTGGAAAAGTTGATCCATCAAGTGATGGATTTGAGCAAAAGGTTGAACAAATTCTTCTCATTATGAACTTCTTCTTCCTTCTTCCGATGAGTTCTTCTCATTATGAACTCGAACTGACACTGTTGATCCATTAAATGATGGATTTAAATCTTTGCTAAAATCTTTGAAATTCCTGTTAAAAATTCAACATGGATGAAAATGAATGAAAATGCACCTATTTTTGCAAACACCTAAATATGATGCATGAGTGTTAAGTTTATTTGATTTCAGATTGGTGAATTGAGTATTTCTTCAATTGTAAAAACCCAATAGATCTTTCTTCTTCAAAACAGAGAATCTATCATCTTTGACAAATGTAGATGTAGATATAATGTCACAAAACCTCTTGAAAATAAAACTCAATAGTATAGGCTCTTGAAAAGCTTGCCTTCATGCGACATGTTGATTCTGATAACAACTCATCTGATTATGAAATGACCTTTCAAGATGATTTCACAGATATCGATAGTTCTTTTAATACCGAGAAATTTTGAATTCTGATTCTGATGAGGAGAATAAATTGTTATACTTGACAAAAATGGGATTCTCAGAGGCTGAAACTTCAATAGCCATGGAGAAATGTGGTTCAAATTCATCAATTGCAGAATTGACAAATTTTATATGTGCTGCTCGAATGGCTAAGGTTGCTGACGCATTTTTCCGATAAAAGATGGGAAGCCATTATGCAATGATCCCAATTACAAGAAAAGGCGAAACTTGGGCTATGATTTTTGGGAAAGGAATAAGCAAAAGAAGCTTGAAAAATAGCTTCTTAATGAAGACGATCATGCAATTTATCTTTTAATTCAAATGATTGGTTCTATGTTTTATATCAAACCAAATCAGAGAACTCAAAGAACACTTCCAGAAGATGCTATTAGCACATTCCTCTTCCAAATTCAATAACTGGTTCTGTGGTTCATACCAAACCAGATCAGATAACTCAAAGAATACTTCCAGAAGATGCTATTGGGTCTCCTTATTTCTACTATGAGCAAATTCATCTTTCAAATTTAATGATTGGTTCTGTGGTTTCATATCAAACCAGATCAGATAACTCAAAGAACACTTCCAGAAGATGCTATTAGCACATTCCTCTTCCAAATTCAATAACTGGTTTTACCAAACCAGATCAGATAACTCAAAGAACACTTCCAGAAGATGCTATGATCACATTCATCTTTCAAATTCAATGATTGGTTTTACCAAACCAGATCAGATAACTCAAATAACACTTCCAAGATGCTATGAGCACATTCATCTTTCAAATTCAATGATTGGTTTTACCAAACCAGATCAGATAAATCAAAGAACACTTCCAGAAGATGCTATGATCACATTTATCTTTCAAATTCAATGATTGGTTTTACCAAACCAGATCAGATAACTCAAAGAACACTTCCAGAAGATGCTATGTCATCTTTCAAATTCAATGATTGGTTTTACCAAACCAGATCAGATAACTCAAAGAACACTTCCAGAAGATGCTATGAGGACATTCATCTTTCAAATTCAATGATTGGTTTTACCAAACCAGATCAGATAACTCAAATAACACTTCCAGAAGATGCTATGAGCACATTCATCTTTCAAATTCAATGATTGGTTTTACCAAACCAGATCAGATAAATCAAAGAACACTTCCAGAAGATGCTATGATCACATTTATCTTTCAAATTCAATGATTGGTTTTACCAAACCAGATCAGATAACTCAAAGAACACTTCCAGAAGATGCTATGATCACATTCATCTTTTAAATTCAATGATTGGTTTTACCAAACTAGATCAGATAACTCAAAGAACACTTCCAGAAGATGCTATGAGGACATTCATCTTTCAAATTCAATGATTGGTTTTACCAAACCAGATCAGATAACTCAAATAACACTTCCAGAAGATGCTATGAGTACATTGCATTTGTTCCAGTTAATGTTTGGACTGGGATATCACAGTACTTATTAGATGTAAAGCCAGAATTTGTAGATTCGAAGCATTTTCATGCTACTACACTGAAAAGGGCTATATTCATAATTCTGCCAATTAAGAACATATTTTCTCTTTATTCTGCTTCTTCCATGTGCTGATGCTTTTCCATTGACAAAGAAATGATGGCCTTCCTGGGATCCAAGAACAAAGTTGAAATGTTTATAAACATGTACAGGAAGTGCCAAATTGATAGAAAGGATCTGTAAGGCTCTTGAAGCTTATGACAATGAATCACATTCGAATATCCAAAAGTATGTTCTTGATGAGTGCTGAAAATGGAATCTAGTATGGGTTGGAAGGAATAAAGTTGCTCCACTTGGATCTGATGAGGTGGAAATGCTTCTAGGTTTCTCTAAAAACCATACACAATAATCTGTATAGAGACATGTTCCATGGTGGTATCAATGTCATGTCTCTTTTCTCTGGGATCAATGATGCAGAAGTTGCCTTTTACTGTCTTGGCATACTTTTGAAAGCAGATGTGCAAGAACTGAATGATGATCGATTGGAGCAATTGATGAGTAGATTTGTCGAATTCGACCTTGTTGTCGGTTGTATCTAGCATAACAACCTTATTGTTCATGGCTTTAAGATGGTGATGATTTGCTTACTTTGTATTCCATGTATTTAAAAGTATTAACATAAAGTGATATTCAGAAATCTTTAACTTATTTCAAAATTATGTTAATTCATAGAAGAATAAATTGAATTTTCGAAAATAAATTGAATCTCAAATAAATTGAACTTGAAATAGATAGAATTGTATTCAAAGTTATGGCAAGCATAAGAATGATAAAAATTCAAATGTCTCAACAAATTATTAGCATAAGTATTTCTAAATTAATCAAGTTGACACAATTTAGAGAAATTATGTAAGCTTTTGTCTGGAAGATCTCAAACGTTGTCAAAATGCTTGTAGATGTGAAGTTTCTCCCAAACTGTCAAAATCTTAAGAGGGTTCAATTGCCAGATGCCTAATATCAACCTGCATTTGAGCCGCCTTTTCAGGTTTTCAACTCAAATCCTTCCTTTGGTTACAAGATGCCCTTTGTGGGTTTTCACCTTGACCCCCCTTTTTCTTTTTCTTTTTTCTCTTTTTTTTTCTTTTTTCTTTTTCTCTTTTTTTTTTCTTTTTCTCTTCAAGCATAATATTTCTTGATAGAATCTGAGTTTATTGGATTTCTCAGAATTTTTCCATCCATTTCTGCCAAGATCAACGCTCCTCCGGAAAAGGCCTTTTTCACAACGTATGGCCCTTCCCAATTAGGCATCCATTTCCCACGGAAATCTTTATGTTTAGGCAAAATCTTTTTTAGTACTAGATCACCCTCTTGGAATTCTCTTGGATGTACTTTTTTTTCATGAGACTTCATCATCCGTTTCTGATACATCTGTCCATGGCAAATAGCTTTCAATCTTTTTTCCTCAATAAGGTTCAATTGATCAAATCTAGCTTGGATCCATTCAGATTCATCCAATTTTATTTCTCTCAATATTCGAAGCGATGGAATCTCAACTTCAATTGGTAAGACTGCTTCCATCCGTAGACTAAAGAAAAAGGCGTTGCCCCAGTAGATGTTCGAACAGTAGTTCGGTATGCGTATAGAGCAAAAGGTAACTTCTCGTGCCAATCTTTGTAAGTTTCAGTGGTCTTTGTAATGATTCTCTTGATGTTCTTATTTGCTGATTCAACTGCCCCATTCATCTTTGGACGATACGCCACTGAGTTTGCATGTTTGATCTTAAACTGTGCACAAAGTTCGGTCATCATTTTGTTGTTCAGGTTCAGAGCATTATCTGTAATGATCCTTTCTGGTAGGCCATACCGGCAAACTATCTTTCTTTATGAATTTGCAGACTGTGGACCTCTTAATATTGGCATATGAAGCAGCTTCAACCCATTTGGTAAAATAATCAATTGCCACAAGGATGAAACAATGTCCATTCGATGCTTTTGGTGTGATTGCGCCAATGACATCTATTCCCCACATAGAAAATGGCCAGGGTGCTGTCATTACATATAAAGGAGATGGGGGTACATGAATCTTGTCTGCATATATCTGGCATTTATGACATTTCCTTGCATAATCAATGCAATCAGTGTGCATGGTAGCCCAATAGTATCCATATCTCATTATTTTTCTGGCCATGGAAAGATCATTTGCATGTGTTCCACATATTCCACTGTGTACTTCTTCAATGATGCTTCTAGCTTCGCTGGTATTTAAACATCTCAATAGCATTTGATCATTGCTTCTTCTATACATAATCTCTCCATCAAGAAAATATCCAGCAGCCATTCTTCTCAAGGTTCTTTTATCAATTTCCGATGCATTTGGTGGATAACTTTGATTTTTGATATATTGCAGAATATCATGATACCAGGGTTTACCATCTACCTCTTCTTTCACACTATAACAATGTGCAGGAATTTCATATACTTGCATTTGGATTGGCATCATATCAACTTTCTTAGTTGCTTGAAACATAGCAGCTAATGTAGCCAAAGCATCTGCCATTTGATTTTCTTCTCGAGGGAGATAATTGAAGGTAACTCTCTCAAATTCTTTCACTAATTCGAGGGTAAAATTTCGATATTCTAATAATTTGGGATCTTTTGTTTCCCATTCTCCTCGCAATTGATACACCACTAACGATGAATCTCCATATATTTTGAGACATTTGATTTTTCTTTCTATAGCTGCTTTCAATCCCATGACACAAGCTTCATATTCCGCCATGTTATTGGTGCAAAAGAACTCCAGTCTACTTGTAAAGGGATAATAAATATTTTCTGGAGAAATTAACACTGCCCCGATTCCTCGTCCCAAAGCATTAGATGCTCCGTCAAAGTAAAGCTTCCAAGTTGCAAATGCATCATTTGTTCTGACTTCTTCATTCATGGATATGCACAACAAATCTTCATCGGGAAAATTGAAACTCAAAGGCTGATAATCATTTGATACACGACTGGCCAGAAAATCAGCTATGGCACTTCCTTTTATCGCTTTTTGGTTGACATATACAATATCAAACTCAGATAATAACATCTGCCATCTAGCCATTATGCCTGTCAAAGCTGGTGATTCCATTAATAATTTTAAAGGATCAAGTTTTGATATCAACCAAGTAGTATGGTATAACATATATTGTCTGAGTCTTCGAGTAGTCCACACCAAGGCACAACATAATTTTTGTATTGGTGGATATCGAATTTCACAATCAGTAAATTTCTTACTCAGATAATAAATAGCTTTTTCTTTCCTTCCAGATTCATCATGCTGTCCTAGTACACATCCCATCGAATTTTCGAAGACCGTCAAGTAGAGAATTAACGGTCTATCAAGCATTGGTGATACTAAAATGGGGGCATTGGATAAATATTTCTTAATAATATCCAAAGTTTCTTGACATTCTTCATTCCAGACTTCAGGATTGTTCTTTCGAAGTAATTTGAACACTGGATCACATTTGTCAGTTAATTGAGAAATGAACCGAGATATATAATTTAATCTTCCCAAAAAGCCTCGAACTTCTTTTTTTGTATTGGGTGGTGGGAGATTTTGAATTGCTTTTACTTTATCTGGATCAATCTCAATTTCTTTTTTACTGACCACAAATCCCAAAAGTTTCCCAGAAGTTACCCCAAAAGTGCATTTTGTGGGGTTGAGCTTTAATTGATACTTCCTCAATCTCTGGAAAAGCTTTCTCAGGTTTTGAATATGTTCTTCTTCAGTTTGAGATTTGGCAATCATGTCATCCATGTATACTTCAATCTCTTTGTGCATCATGTCATGAAACAAAGTTACCATGGCTCTTTGATACGTTGCCCCTGCATTTTTCAATCCAAATGGCATCACTTTGTAGCAGAATGTGCCCCACATGGTTACAAATGTTGTTTTTTCCATGTCTTCAGGATTCATTTTTATCTGATTATATCCTGAAAAGCCATCCATAAAAGAAAACCATGCGTGTCCTGCAGTATTGTCCACCAATGTGTCTATGTGGGGTAATGGAAAGCTATCTTTCGGACTAGCTTTGTTGAGATCTCTGTAATCCACACACATTCGAACTTTTCCATTTTTCTTCGGTACGGGAACAATGTTGGCTACCCATTATGGGTATTTAGCTGCCTGTAGGAAACCTGCATTTGATCTGTTTCATCACTTCCTCTTTGATCTGCAACAATATTTCTGGCCTCATTCGTCTGGGCTTTTGTTGTACCGGTTTATATTCTGGATTGATTGTAAGCTTGTGTATCACTATATCTGTGCTTAAACCAGGCATATCTTGATAAGACTAGGCAAAGATATCTTTGAACTCTTGAAGGAGATTTATCAATTCTTGTTTTATCTGGATTGTCAGAGTAGTACCAATTTTCACCTCTTTCATTTCTTCATCTGTTCCCAAATTCACATTCTCAATCTCTTCTTTGTGGGGTAGAATTTGTTTGTCTTCTTTTTCTACCAATCTTAATAGTTCAGTAGGAACATCACATTCCAGTTCATCCTCACACCCAATGATTTCTTCCAGACATATGGGTTGCTCTAAATTAATCTCTTGATTAAATTTTAGGAATAAACATGCTATTAACATGGTGACACCTGCAAATTTAAGTCGGACATATTTCCGAAAGAATATAGTAAATTTATGAAATAAATAAATGTAAAAATGTAAGAAAATGTAAAGAATGATTGCCATCTGAAAATTTTAAAGAAAATTTCTTATATTTAACATAATTTCCTTTACAAGATAACAAAAAGTTTTCATATTTTTGAGCTAAACATAAAGATAGTTCTGAATATTACTCTGCGTTAATATTAAAAACTATAGGAAGATCTTCAGTGGTCCAATTGTTGAGTGTTTCTCCAGGAAAACATGGGCGAATCCTATCCAAGTATTTGCCAGTCTTGTTGTCATTCATGATCATGTTGATAAATAATCCATTCATAGCTTCTTCAACTATGTTTGATCTTTCGTTAACTTTTCTTCTTTAAAGGCTTCAACAAGCTGCTGTTCTACATAATTGTTCCCCCTGATCTGAATGTGGTCTTCAACTGTGGGAAAAACATGTGTTCCCAAAGGATTTCTTTCCCTTTCAACCTTGCCTTTCTGTCTTCACATCTTCTTTTCATCTCTTTGTTCTTTTGCTGAAAATTGGGCTTAAATCCAAGCCCAAAACGATCTTTCTTCATCTGTATATTTACAGGAACTGAAATCCCTTGAAGATTCTTTCCTAAACCTTTTTCAGCTTTAGCTCCGATGCCTAAAGTTTGTCGTACCGTCATCTTGGTGCAATCAGATAATCTGGGATATGGAATTTTGCTTCCTTCTGCAATAAAGGTTGCATTGACAAATTCAAGAGCTCGGAAAGAGCATTCAAGTGTATCATCATTGGTTTCAATATATGTAACATCACTTGTTATAGACGCAATGATTTCTTCTTCAGCTCCTACACATATTAGTTGTCCATCAACAACAAATTTCAATTTCTGATGTAATGAAGAAGGAACGGCTCCTGCTGAATGAATCCATGGCCTCCCTAATAAACAATTATATGTAGGGTGGATGTCCATCACCACAAAGTCAATATTGTACACGACTGGTCCAATTAACAACGGTATTTCTATTTTCCCGAGCACCTCTTTTTGAGTACCATCAAAGGCTCGCACTACATTCTGATAACTCTTCATGTGTGATTGATCCACAGGCATTCTTTGAAGTGTGACTAGAGGCATCAAGTTGAGAGCGGATCCATTTTCAATCAATACTCCTGGCAACACATGACCATGACAATGTGTCGTGATGTTCAAAGCTTTTACTGACCCCATTCCGCCTTCCGGTATTTCATCATCCGTGAACGTTATGTAATTGTCAGCGGCTATATGTCCCACAATTCTGTCAAGTTTATTGAGGGATATATCCTCAGGGATAAATGTTTGATTGAGCATTTTCATCAAAGCATTTTTATGTGCTTCTGAATTCATCAATAAATCAAGAATAGAAATTCTCGCTTGTTGTTTGTGTAGTTGTTCAACCACACTATACTCACTATGTTTCAGGAATTTCAAAAATTCTTGGGCTTGTTTTTCTGTCACAGGCTCATTGAATGCTGGAGGGGATTCATCATCAAATACCTTCTGAGGTATTGCCATGGCTTTTCCTTTTGCTTTCACTTGTTCTGAAGCATTGGATGTTTCGGAAGAGTAACATCTCCCACTTCTTGTAAAGAATCCGACTTCGCTTACTGCTTCAGACGTCGATGTTGTACCCAAACTCTGTATTTTCTCTTCTGTTTTTTCTAGAGAAACAGATCCTCCTACCATTGAAACATTGGTAGTATAATTCCAAGGTACCCTGCGGGTATCTTTGTATGGAAATGGTAGAGGAGTGGTGATAACTACTTTCGGCTTTATTGGTGCAGGAATCACCGTAGATGATTTCACATTAATGATCACAGGATCATTTATTCTTTGACTAGGTTTAGAATCCTCTGATGAGCAAACATCATCTTCTTTTTTCTCTGGTTCTTCTTCAAAGAATTCTATTTCTCTGTTGTTCATCAATTTTTGCACCAAATCCCTAAACTCAGGACATAGTTGAATTTTATGCCCCTTCTCTTGATGATATTCACAATAATTCTTGCCTTCATTCTGTTTTGGCCTGAATTGTTGTGGAATTATACCGGCTAAAGAGAGTTGTTGGAATACCCAAACAAAAGGAGATTTAATTTCAGAAATGTCAGTTTTTGCTTTCTTTCTGTTCTCTTCTTGAATTACATTCACGTTTTTATCTCCATGATTTGGCAATGGATGATTTGATGCAGATGGTGTATTGAATTCCAACTTTCCAGTGTTGATCAAATTTTGAACCACCCTTTTGAATGCCAAACAGTTTTCAATAGAATGACCCGTAATTCCTTCATGGTAAACACAGTGTGCCTTTGTATCATACCAAGGAGGGAATGGTGGTTGCATGGGAACCAAAGGATAGGGTCGTATGACATCTGCTTTTAACAGCGAATCATAGATCTCAGCATATGGTACTGGTAAAGGTGTAAAAGACAACCTTTCATTTTCCTTTCGAGATCCTCTGGACTTGCTCGATTAGTGTTTGTTTCCTCTTTCTTAACCTTGGCTGGGTTATTGTAACACTTTCGATGAATCCTTGTTGTAAGAGTTTGCATTGTTAACTTCATTCTCTTTTTTCCGGTACATAGGTCTTTTGGAACTAGACCCCTCATTTGATTCAATTTTGCCACTTTTTAAGACATTTTCAATGAGTTCTCCAGAAATGACCAAATCTGCAAAATTTCTGGTTGCATTCCCCATTAGATGATTTAAATAAGGAGCTTTCAATGTATGGACAAATATTACTGTGGCCACTTTTTCTGACAAAGGTGGTTGAACTTGGGCTGCTGTGTCACGCCATCTCTGGGCATACTGTCTGAATGTTTCATTATTCTTTTTCTCCAAATTTTGGAGAGTCCATCTATCAGGGACCATGTCTGTTACGTGGCGGTACTGCTCTAAGAATGCTTTAGCCAGATCTTTCCAGGATCTAATGTTGGCTTTGGTCAATTGAGTATACCATTTTAAAGCTGGTCCTATCAAACTATCCTGAAAGTAGTGAATTAACAATTTCTCGTCTTTCACATATCCTGCCATTCTGCGACAAAACATAGTAATGTGGGATGAAGGACATGTAGTACCGTCATATTTATCAAATTCGGGAGCTTTGAACTTGATGGGGAGGATTAGGTCTGGAACCAAACTCAACTCACTAGCGTCAAACCCATAAAATGATTCAGTTATTTCCACGGATTTCATTCGTTCTTCTAAGCTCTTGATCTTTCTGGTCAATTCTTCATTTACTTTTTCTTTCTCATTCAGCTCATTCAAATCTGGGATTAAATGCTCAGTATTAAGATCCCCTATTTTCACATCTGATATAAGCGGATTTTTGCTTGAAGATGCAGGATCCACTTGTCGATTTTCATGTGGTTTGGCTTCTTGAAATGCTGATGTGCGAGCATTAATTTGTATAGGTGTAGTACCAGAGTGATAAATTGGTTCTGGTGGAAAACCTAAAGGATACATAGGTTCTTGATCGAAAGATACAGGATTTTCATGCATTTTTCCAATGATAGCCTGCCTTTTAAACATGTCCTCTATTTTCTGCATCATATTGTCTTGTGAATTTACAATACTGGCTTCAATTTTCTCCAGCTTCATTCTCATTTCTGCTTGTTCTTTATTATGTTGTTCCTCAATACGTTGTATTTTATCCTCCATAATTCTCTTAGTAGCTTGTCTAGTACCGTAGTGATGTTGTATTTCTCTTTTGGCCAGAATAACTGCGATTGAAAAATCTTTTGATATTATTTTTTCCAAATTTTAATTAATGAATTTTATCTTAATTATATATAAAGAAAATCATGAAATGAATAATGAATGTATGCAAAATGCATGTATGCAAAAAGGTATTGATCCCAAAAAGTTAACTGTCATAGAACAACTTTCATCGGCATACAAAAGTTTCTTTATAATAGTTCATAACTACAGATAAGGCGTAGCTTTCCTATTAATCTCTATAATTTCTTTCATTAACCATGACACCTTCTTTCCGCACTTAGAAACTGGATCAACGTGATGCTCAATTATTCTGGCTTCAACAGCTAGTTCCCCAACATATCTAGCAACTTCTCTCATTTGTACCATGGCCTCGAACACCATATTACTTCTTTCTTCACTTCTTTCAACATAGAAATCAGTTGACTTTTGCCATTGTTCATTCGTTCCTTCAAGAGTTTGCTCTAACTCAGTGATTCTGACTTGACAATTGTACAGAATTTTTTCAAGATCTCTAATGCGTCTTCGCAGTGAAGCACTTTCCTCATTACTTTCTTTGAGATCATTAGGTCCTAGACGAACCTTTTCTTGAAATAATGATTCTTCAAGTTGCAAAATGTAAGCGTTAAACTCTGAGTTTTTGTTTCTAGACTGATCCAGATCTTCTTCAAGTTTTGTTCGTGCTTCTTGCGTTCTTTGATTAATCTTCTGGATTTGAACATTCTTGTTTATGCATCTTTGCATCCAATTGCTAGCCATTCTTGCTCTACCTCAATTTTGGTGTTGAAATTCTTTCTTTCCAACTCCCATTTTTCTTTTTCAATATTGAACTCTTCAATCTTTTGGCCCCTGACTTCAAGTTCAGCAATCAGCTGGTTCATTTCATATTCAAATCCCTTGAACATGATATTTGTCTCACCTTCAAATTTATCAAAGATGTCATTCTTCATTTCTTATAAATCTTTGGCTCGATCCCTTTCTCTTTGCATTTCATTCATGATCTCGCGGTGTTCAGCCTTGTGTTTTATAATTCGCTCTCTTCTGTCGACCTCAAAATCTTCCATTTTTTTCTTTCCTTTCTCAAGGCTTTTGAGTAGACGGCTATTCTTTCCTTTCAGATCTTCAACTCGACTTTTCTCGATGTTCAATTCTCTGCTTATCTGTACTGTTGATTGGCTTGGTCCTGATGCTTTCCGGGATTTATATAACTCTTGGTAATTTTTCTTTAATGCTCTAAATTCACCATCAACTTTTTCTTTGTTTTCTCTCAACATTGCACATTGTGATGAATGAAAGTCAATATCAACACCCAACATAGCTTTATCTCGTCTCATTTGCTCTAATTCTCTTGACCAGCCTTCTCTTTCTGCTTCAAACTCAGCTCTCAGGATTTCAATCTCTGATGGAACCACCTTAATGCGATCTTCCATAGAGATATCCTCATTTTGATCTGGTAGAGGAATATTTTCATTTTTCCTGACATATCTTTATTCCTCATAATCAGGAGTTAGCATTTCTTTTGCTGCTTTAGCTCGGATACAAAAAGTTGTTTTCCAAGCTGTAACGGCTTCCATGATATTTCTTTTATAATTTTTGCTGTGGAATGCGAACTCAGATTAATGTAATCCAGCGGTGACAGGTACAAATTGACGACCTTCATACTGTCTTATGACCAGAAGTGGTGCATATCAAATTCCTCCCCATAATCCGAGCAGCATTATCCAATTGTAATCACCACATTTGTAAAAGAATTCCCTTTGGATTTGCCACGGGGCTCGCCAAACAATGTCATTGCTTGGCAGATTTCGAAAGGCATTAATCCACATATCTTTCTTAATTTCTTTCGGCAATTCCTGCTCCATAAATTCTTTTAATGGTGAGTAATCCGTATTAAAGCGTCGGTATGAAACCTTTTCTGTCCTCCAGAAATGACTACGGATCCAAACATATAACAACTGGGTACACCCTGAGAATCGTCCACCTCCTAGCTTTCTACAAGCATTTAACGATCTGAATGTCTCTGCTAGAATTGCAGAAGCATGATTAATCTTTTTCGGTAGCTGTTCAAACAAATCTACCACTGCAACTTCAACATATCCCAATACTTTTGGGAAGATGACCATACCATACATACCCGGAGCAAATAGATCGAATCGTACTTTAGTATCTGGATGACTCTGAATAAGTTCTTTAATGTTGGTCCAAGCAATGCCTTCGCTTTCGCCTTTTTGTTTTGTACGGGATGCCACCCATTCTTCTCGTACCCCGGCAATCTTTGCTAATTTAACTCGAAAGGGTTGAGTTTTAATTGACTTTGAATAGATTCGATTCTCCAAAGCCCCTTCGATATGTAGCAAAGTTGTGTACTCTTCAATAGTAGGGACTAAGTCCTCCTTATTGAGAGTGAAGCAATTGTACCCTGGATTCCAGAATTGAATTAGGGCTCTGAGTAATTCATCATCAACTTCGACATAGAGCAAATATGGGATGTCTCCGTAAGTCTAATAAAACTATAATTTTTCGTTTGAATCCCAACTTTCCCAAATGCTTCGCAAATCTTGCATATCATTTCTTTTTAGCGAAACTGGAGCATAACTGGCCAAGTCAGATACATAATCATCTTGCAAACTGTCTCCTTCTTGTCTTTGTAAGTCCTCAGCCCACTGTCTTACTTTTGAGTTTAGAATTACTTGATTTGAACACTTTTTATCCATGGATGAAGGCTTTCCAATGAGACAATTAACACAAGGATCAATGCCTTTTATCCTGTATGATGCTATGCAAACAGAAAAGATAAAGAACACACAAAAAGAAATGAATTAGTTTACATAATAAAGAAATTTAATAATAACATTTACCTAACTATTTTTATTTAAACATGCTTTTTCATAATTTAAATAATTTAAATATACATGTAATTTAATCAGTAAAAAAATAAATTAACAGGAAAATTAGAATTCATTTCTCCTGTGTGTACACCTATTTTGGACAAAATTTCGGCATGACTTCAGATCGGAAGAGTTTCTAGGGTTTATTATATGTAAGGTTTCAGATCTAAGAATAAAGGTACCCGAATTGTCCTTGTTAGTGCCCCCTTGGGTTGCTAACCCTCAATCCTAGTCCATTACAAAATAAAATGGATCGAGTTCAATTCGAGGGGATACATTTCTCTATGCCTGACACGGAGAATAAATTCTCTCGAAGACGTAGAGCATATGAACCCCGAAAGTTACTTGCTAGGTCTGACACGGAGAATAAATTCTCACGAAGACGTCGCTTTCACTTCCACTTAAAAGGGACAAACTCAATTATAGAGCTTTATGTTATGCAATGCAAGTGTTGTGTGTGAGGAGAAATGTTCAAACCTCTGACAGAAAAATAAATAATGAAATAAAATACTTGCAAATAAAAATGAAATATTAATAAGAAAATATATACATACTATGAAAATAATAAATATATAAAAAAAATTTTGAAAAGGAAAAATCATAAATTAAATATATAAATTTTAATTTATAATTAATA